GGTCATTCCTCACCATGGCTGAAAAGCATAATCTCAAAATTATGTTTTACAGCTATCTATATTTGAAAGGAAGAACTAAATGACGTGTGCAGAGAACTCTAATGAAAAGAGTCTGAGAAATGGACTTGAGTTTAGGTAATTTATTTAGAGGGAAGCCTATGATACACTAATGAGGACTGTGAGACAATTCCTCACACACAAAAGCCAGTGATGAGTTTATTCATAAGCAGAATAATGCAATGAGCAATTATAATGCCATATCATTGTGACCACTGTTACCTGTAGAACAAACCTGTTCCATGACAGAATGGAGAAGGTCAGTCATTTACCCATTTGCTTCTATTCCTCATTAGTTGGAGTCACCTGTCACCCCTCAGTGCATTCAGTTCCCAGCATTTCTGAGCAGCTGGGCAGGTGCACAGGCTGAAGAAGCTCTCTGCATCAGAGAAAGTCTAAGGCAGCTAAGCAGAGGGCAGATGTGAATAGCGTGCTTGGTAACTGACCTTGATAACTGCTTGGTAAGTTGTTGTAGCTGGCGGTCCATGAAGACGTGGGATACGCATCAGCAGCACCCACTACACAGATACATACAGAGCATACAAGAAGGGCTTGACACTTTTTGTCACTATGAATAAATGAAATTAATCAGCTTTCCTGGAGAAGAAATGTGAGTTAAAGTGTGTTTCTCTGTCTTAACATTTTTAGAAAATCTCCATTTTTGTTCTCCTGTTGCACTAGAAATGATATTACAAATTTGGGATCTAAAACCAATTTAACTATATTTACTGTGTGATTTAAGTAATGATATATGTGTGCGACTTTATCAAGATTAATGTTCATGTAGTCACTATAGACTCCATTATGACTATAACTTATTTTTTATAATTTTTTACTTTTTCTTCTTCTCTATGTTGGTCACCAGTAGAAAAAATGTAATATTGAAAAGATGCTTCATGCAATCTTTTCCCATTATATGCAATCAAAATGTGGATATGAGATTGGATCTTTTTCAAGAAGAAGAAAATCTGCCATTTGAAGCTATGCATGTAAAATAGGAAGGATTTTAGTTTATGCTTAGCCTCATTCTTTTGACAATGATATGTGGTATAATCTATTTTCTATGTAAAAGCAATTATTAACATAGATTATTAATACAAGTTCCCTTCAAGTAGAAAAATTCATTGTAATATTTTGTTAGATAAATAAATAAGATACTATTGAATCTCAAAGAACACTTTATGGTAAATATGTAAAAATTAATACTGCTCTATTCTGTTCCTGTAAAACCATCATATAATGCCATCATTTACTTTATGTTGCTGGACCAAAGATCTACATTTTAATAATTTATTTGCTGAGCGTAATTGAATCTTCAAGAACAATGTACTTTTATCATACTGTAATATCATACTGTAGCTTTCCAGGAATGAAGATCTTGTATTTCTATGTTTCAGGTTCATTATTTATTGTTTTCTTTCACCATTTATAAAAGTTGGTGAGTCTTAATGATAGTAAAAGAGAAGAATGGTGATTTAGACTTCATTTACTTCAGTGCATAAAACAAAGTGCACTACAAGTCTACAGGCTACTTTTGAAAATTCATACATAACTACTTGTGGGTCTACAGGCTAGATATTACTCAAGTACAAGTTTCTATTTCCTAGGCCAAGGTAAAAAAAAACAACGTATATGAAAGGGCCCCTAGGCCAGGCATGGTGGTGCATACCTGTAATCCCAGATTTTGGGGGAGGCTGATGCAGGAGGATTTCAAGTTTGAGACCAACTTGGACAATTTAGCAAGACTCTGTCTCAAAATTTAAAAAGTGTTGGTATGTAGGCCACTGATAGAGATCCCGGGATCAATCCCCAGGACTGAAACAAAAAATGGTGGGAGGGGTGTTTATGTATTAAACTTTTGTATCTTGACTGGACTTGGTTTCATATGAAAAGAATGGAAGGGGGCATGAAGATCAATGATTACTTCTGTGGCTGTGACAGTTACTTAACTTCTCTAATGGTTGTTGTAACCACTAATACATCAAGGATACCAAGACCAACTCCATACATATTTGTGAGGATGAATGAGATAGTACACATTAACTGCTTAGCAACATGTGAATTATTAGTTAATAGTAATTCAGAAAATTGAAGATGAATATACTGAAATGATTTCAGTTATAGAGAAGAAAGGAATGACATTCAATGACAATCTTGAGGCTTTTGAAAATTTCCAGATAGAGATTATTGACAAAGTACAAATCAAATACAAATGTATCAAGAAGGCTCAATTTTCAACATCAGTAAAAGTGGCTTTAGGGTATTGAAAAAGACTTGTAATTTTCTTGAGAAGCTTTGGAGGCAGTTTGTGATGGTCTCTAGAATGGATTTCTTATATTTATCAGCCTATTGCAATACCTAACCCAGTAATAGGAGTGCTTATTCTGTACTTTAATTTGTCCTCAAAGCTTATGTTTTATTGATTTGAGTGTTAGAGTCAAGAAGTAAATTCTGTGAGTTCTTAGATAACTATACCCTTCAGGTGCGGCATATGTTCCTTTTCCTTCCTCTTTTTCCTGGACAGGAAACCAGACTCCCAGTAACCTTCACACAATTTACATACCTTAAGATCACCCCATCACCAGCTTAAGAGTGTCTAACCCATATCGCTACAAAGAATCTATCTTAATCTTTTAAATAATGTTACCTTGTCCTTGGCTGATAGAATTATAGACAGTGGAGCAGCCAGACTGCTCTGGAATTCTGATCGTAGAAGGATGTCAGTTTTCCCATCTGTAAAATGGGAAATATATTAGTATCTACTTAGTAGGTAATTTTGAGGCTTAAGTGAAGTAGAATATATAAAACACATATAGACCTAGTTTAAGTGTGCTCAGTATTTTTATTATTGCTAGTTTAATTTTGCTCTGATAATTTTACAACCATAGAGGAGCTGTTTATCCTGGTTATATTTAATATAAAGAAAACTTTTCCTCCACTCTTACTCAAACATAAAAATACTGAATTATGACATGATATTTGTGTTTGTTCAACAAGTGACTATTTATCCTCCAAACTGAGAGACTACACAGTGACAGAATTGTACTGATGATTCACACACAACTTGCATATGATTCTTCCACAAATTTTTGCCAGATGTTTATTTTCTAATGTTTTACATATAAATGTATTCAAACAATTATTGAATATTTGTTCATAAAATTATGGTAGGAATAAGTAGGAAGCAATAAATTGAAAGATAATCTGCCTTTGGATAAATACTTATAGGATGAGAAAAGACAAAAAAATACATAAAGTCAACAACAATTTAAAAGTTCTCAAGATCATTAGCTGCTCACTGCCCTGCCTCAGTTGTGCTGAACACACATCCTGAATCCCAGAGAAAAGCAGGATTGTGGATTACAAGACTTTTAGTACCTTGTTTTCCATCCTTTTGATACCAAACTGACATTTAAAGATGATCATTTTGTTTTGCAAAGTGATACACATTCATTATTAAAAATATAAACAATATCCAGATAGAGATCATTGACAAAATATAAATCAAATATAAATGTATAAAGAAGGCTCAATTTTCAACATAAGTAAAAGTGGCTTTAGGGTATTGAAAAAGACTACCTGTGTAATTTTCTTGAGAATCTATCTTAATCTTACATCACCCTCATAAACAACCGTTGCTAACAACTAAGGAAATTAGAAATTACTTTGGGTAGATAGTCAGGAAATGCTTTTTATTTATTTATTTATTTTTGAGAGCAGGTATTGTTTTATTAACTGACCAGATTACAAAAATACCTTATATCATCCTTCTAATAAGCCTGTGAATCTGGTCTTCCCCTATGGCCAGCATTTCCACCTTCTACAAAATGGGTGGTCTTTTTCTTCATTCCATGTCCTAGAGAAGATAATTTGAAGGGACACAGAAGTTATTTGCTTCTTTGAAGCATCTTCTAACAATGTAGATCTCATGAATCAGATCCTCCCCTCAGGTGATGCTATATTTACCAAGAGATCAAGCAATCAAAGCATTCTCTGTCAAGGCAATTTGTTTCTTATTGATTTTGCCATATCCACGCTTATAGATTAGTGCAGTCACCAACTTCAGGTTTGGGTACCCCCATGCAGCATAAGATTCCACAATCCTGAGCATGTTAATTGAAGTCTTGTTGAGCTTAACAAAGGTGCCATTGAAGATCTGTCAAAGGTAAAGGAGTTGTAACACCTAATGAACCTTTGGGCTCACACCATTGATATCGTTGATTCTGATGACCAATGCCGATTTGGGTTCTGCAGGTACATAGAAGTTGCCAGATGTTCTTGTTACCCTAACCATTCAAATCTCCACTCTGTACATCTGCCTATGTTCCTTCTGGTAATGCTTGGCTTTTTTCATACATAAGCTTCCTCCTTGCCTTTTGAATCAGATTTTGGGCAAACTTCTTTAACTCCTTCGCTTTTTCCTAAGGGTTTCTGACACAGCACGAACCTCCTTTTCCTTCTCTTTGGCACCCTCCGTGGTTCCAGTTGGAAAAGAGAGAAGGGAACGATTTTTAATTAAAAATAAGATCATACTCTTCGTGTTACTTGCAAATGAAAAATTATTGTTGAGTAAAATTGATGGAAATGTTACTTTTCTGATAAAAATGTCTTCATTCCAAGTATTTTTTAGCTTATTTATTATTGCTTAGGAAGAAATGATGACACAAGAAATATTGAGAGAATGAGGTCATTTTTAAAATTACATTTCAACTTTTGGCTTTATAAAAAGTCTAAATTCTGTGAAGGGTGATATTGTTATTTTGTTTACCCAAAATCATTTTCCACATTCTATATTTTTTTGGGGGGAGTACCAGGGATTAAACTCAGGGACAAGCACATTATCATATTGCCTAAAGAATATATTGGCAGATTATAAAAATAAATCAAATATAGACTGCTATTAGCATTTTTAAAAGATAATATGTTATTTTCTCTGTTTCTAGGAAATGCAAAAGACATCATGATAATATATGAAGAAGATGCTAAGGAATGGGCTGTGTACTTGAGAGAAGTATTTTTCCATGTTGTGAAAAGAGAAGCAATCCTGTTATATTGCTTAGACAGTTTCTCTCTTCAGCATTTGGAATTGCTAAGCTTAAACTCTTACAAATGTAAACTTTTGATATTATCCAATGACCTGCTTAAAGACCTAACTTCAAAGAAGCGTCAGTTTCTAGAAGAAGTTCTTGACTCACCAGAAAGTGTTGTTACCCTGCTTTGTGGAATGAAGAGCTCAAGTCAGCTATATAAATTATTAAATATCTCTGGAAGCCCATGGGAAATCTCAACAGAGCAGGAGCCTGAAGACTACATTTCTATCATCAAGCAAATCATATTCAGAGGTAGTGTTGCCAAATCCTCTCTATTTGTTGGTTTTGATTTTATTTTGTCTATTTTTTATACTTTACAAATTTAAAGTTTTATTTTTAAACCAATGAAAATCTGATGCTAGGATAAAAAGTAGAAAAACAGAAGCCAAATTTATTTAACAGTATGTTCATAGCAGCTTAATTCACAATAACCAAGCTAGAGAAATAGCTCAGGTGTCCTGCGAAAGAAAATGTGGTACATATACATGATGGAATATTGTTCAGCCATAAAGAATAATAAAGTTATGGCATTCACCAGTAAATGGATAAAACTGGAGACGATCATGGTATGTGAAATAAGCCAATCCCCCCCAAAACAAAGGCTAAATGCTCTCTCTGATATGCTGATGCTGACTCACAATAGGTGGAAGGGAGGGAAGAGAAGAAGCTCCCTGGATTGAACATAGGATACTGAGGGAAGAGGGAGATTGGAGTGGGAAAGACAGTAGAATTAAATGGATATAACTTTTCTATGTTCATATATGAATATGTGGCCAGTGTAACTCCACATCATGTACAATCACAAGAATGGGAAGTTATACTCCATGTATGTACATTATGTCAAAATACATCCCACTGTCATATATGATTTTTTAAAAAGAACAACAACAAGAAAGAACTGTGTTAGTTTTTCTTTAAGGTTTGGTAGAACTAAGCTGAGAATCCGTCAAATTTTAGGCTTTTCTTTCTTGAAATGCTTTTAATTGATGTTTTAATTTCATTACCTGAATATTTGTCTGTTTAGATTTTGTACATCTTTTTGGTTCAATTTGGACAGATAATATGTGCCCCCAAATTTGTCAGTGTCTTTTAGATTTTCCAATTTATTGGAGTACAAATTTTCAAAATCATGTCTATGATCCTCTGGATTTCAGAAGTGTCTGTGGTGATATCTCCTTTGTCATTTATAATTTTGTTGATTTGGGTTTTTTCTTTCTTTCTGTTGGTTAGTTGGGTTAAGGGCTTATCAATCTTATTTATCTTCTCAAAGAACCAACTTGCTTTGTTTTTATGTACTTTTGTTATTCTCAATTTCATTCATTTTGGTTTCAATCTTAATTATTTTCTGTCCTTTACTGATTTTGGAATTAGTTTGTTCTTATTTTTATGAGGACTTCAAGTGGAGAAAGCATATTTGAGATTTCTCTATTTATTTAATATAGGCACTCAGTGCTATATAGGCACTGCAAATGCCATGATTTTGTTCTCTTTTAATGCTGAGTAATGTTCCATTGTGTACATATACCAAACTTTCCCTATCCATTCTTCTACTGAAGGGCATCAGGGATGGTTCTACAATTTAGCTATCATTCCTGTAGTATGCTGTTTTTAAGTCCTTTAGGAATAAACCGAGGAGTGGAATAGCTGGGTCAAATGGTGGTTCCATTCCAAGTTTTCCAAGGAATCTCCATACTGCTTTCCATATGGGCTGCACCAGTTTGCAGTCCCACCAGCAATGTATGAGTGTGCCTTTTCCCCCACATTCTCGCCAACTCTTATAATTGTTTGTATTCTTGATAGCTGCAATTCTGACTGGAGTGAGATGAAATCTTAGAGTAGTTTTGGTTTGCATTTCTCTAATTGCTAGAAATGTTGACCATTTTTTCATGTTTGTTGACTGATTGTATATCCTCTTCTGAGAAGAGTTGGTTCAGTTCCTTGGCCCCTTTACTGATTGGGTTATTTGGGTTTTTGGTGTTAGGATTTTTGAGTGTCTTATATATCCTAGAGATTAGTGCTCTGTCTGATGTGCTTGTGGTAAAGATCTGCTCCCATTCTGTAGGCTCTCTGATGGTTTATTTTGATGAATAGGGCCTTTCTCTGGTTCTCCAGGCTGCGGTGTGAGGGCAGGCTTTTCCCCAGATCTCCAATCTCCAGGATTGCAGTTTCTTAATGAAGAGAAGATAGGGTAGGAGCAAAAGAAATTTTGAAATATTAAAAAAGTTAACAAAGGAAAGGCAGGAGATAGGTAGCAGATGATGGTTATAAAGTAGGAATAAAAATAACAAATTAATAAAGAAAAGAAGAGGAAAAAATAAAATTTGCTTATTATTTGGAGAAAGAGTGATGTAGGGGCAATAAGAGAGACAAAACACAAGGTACAAACAAACAACCAAATGTAAGAACAAAACAGCTCAAATTCACTTATAATTATACCCCACCTAAGTCAAATCAAGTGAAGAATGAAATATATATATATATATATGAATTTATGGGATGATGGCCAGCATCTCATTAATGGGTTCTTCTTCCTGCCAAGGAGGGTGTAAACCACCTGAGAAATTAGAGTCTAGAGTAATTAGTGAAGAACAAAAAACAAAGAGTCAGAAATATATTTTCAAAAACACAGCCCCTGATATACCCAGTCCACACAAGAGCTAGAATTAGACAAAAGAAAATGGCTCCAGTGGTTTATTTAAGGGAGTACATCAAAGACAGGAAGGTTTCAAGGGTGGAGTCTTGCTTTGTGATGTACAATCAGCAGGTTTATTGGAATCTTGGCAGGTCACACCCATCCCAGGTGCTATGTGTGACATGGAAGAGAAAAATAGGAATTCACAATGTTTCTGGGCAGTCTTATACATAGAAAACGTCCACTGGAAGTTCCCAGACATCAGATGTTCCTATTGACTAGGCTGCAATGCTGACAAAGTCCACACACAGCCTACAGACAGCTCGTGACATATATATATATATATATATATATATATATAAATTTCCTAACCTATTCCCATAATGAGAACACACACAAGAAAGTAAAACAGTTATAAAATATAATGAAATAATGTTTGAAAAAAATTATAAATTAAAAAAGGTAAAAATATGGGGTTGAGTATTGCGTGGGGGAAAGAAAGAAAGCTAAAAATCCTTAATGAGAAATAAAGGGCTTATCTTTGTTGAGGTAATGATCACAATTATAGAAAAAGTTGGATTTTCATTCTTCATATTTTTATTTTTTTACTCTGCAACCCTTGGGTAAAGAACTGGAGGCCGTGACATCGGACATTTTTGTGTTCCTCAGTTAGCTGTCAGTCATGGTGGTTAGGAGCCAAAGTTAGTTGTAGTAGCTCTCAGCATCCTATGTCTCAGTTTATGGTAGAATAGTTGGAGGAGTGCTAAAGAATTATTTGTTCCTATAGCAGAGGTGGTGCAGAGTTTCAGTAGCTGATATTTGGTTTTGGGTGACTGTTGGAACTCTGTCAGTAGGTATTTGAGCCTTGATCCACACTCTTGGATTCTTGGGAGATAACAAATCTCTGATGGACATCTGGGTCTCAGTTACCTCTCATAAATTCCACTTTTAAGGTGCAGAGTCAAAAACTCCATAGGATTTACATTCACTGCTATGGATGAGAATTTCCCAGTATTAGCCTTGGAGTACAGATGCTCCTATGTGGCCATTATTGGCATCTTTCCAATAGCTCTTATGGAATTCCAGCAATAAAGGAACTCTATCTCTATCCTTAGTATCCTTACCCTGAATGTCCTGAGCACAATTTTTTTTTTTTTGCATTTATTTTAGTCACACGAGTCCAAGCACACCATACAGCCTATAATAGGCAACTGCTGGATACACTGGAAACCTCTTTTATGAGTTTGCTAACTCAGCCTCTGCTTGAGCTTTTAATTGACTCCTAGTGATCCTGGTTCCCACAAGACTGTCCACCTGTGGGACAAGTGATTTTGGTTGCCTTTCACTCAACAGCTTCCCATACTGACTCCAAGTACACTAAGATCTCTCTCTCTCTCTCTATTCTACAGGTTCCCAAAGCCACTCTCTCATTGCCTGCTCTTCAGCAGTTGTGACTGCCATACTGCTGCCAGCCAACCTGCCACATCTCTAACATATTATTTCATCTATTATGTTCAAAGTTTCCAACTTTCTGTGTCTCTATGCTTTCTTTTGCTGTCCAGTATTGAATTTCTGTGAGTTCCTTTAGTTACTCACCTCACTGAGGATTAGTCATTCCACTTTTTACTTGTGGTACTGTAAAGGATTACATGTGAGGTGTCCCCAAAAGCTCACATGTGAGACAATGCAAGAAGGTTCAGAGAAGAAATGATTGGGTTCTGAGTCTTAACCCAATCAGTGAATTAATCCCCTCATAGGGATTAACTGAGTGGTAACTGAAGTGGTAGGGTGTGGCTGGAGAGGAGGTGGGAATTGGGGTGCAGCTTTGGGGTATATATTTGTATCTGGCAAGTGGGGAAATTTCTCTGCTTTCTGATCACCATGTGAGCTGGTTCCCTCTTCCACCCTCTTCCACCATGATGTCTTGCCTCATCTTGAACCCAAGGAATGGAGCCAGCTGTCCATGGAGTGAGACCTCTGAAATTGTGAGCCCACAAATAAACTTTTCCTCCCTATATAATTGTGCTGATTGGGTCCTTTACTCACAGCAGTGAAATAGTTGACTAAAACAGGTGCTAAGAAACTGCTGGGAATTTCATCTTTCATCTGCCATCTTGTCTAATCCCGCAACATGCTTTTAACTTGTGGTCTGATGTGCCATTGAGTTGTTTTATTTTGTTTTTTTCTCTCTCCCCTGCTCTCTGCTTCTGTTTATCTGTTTTTAGTATTATTCAAATATATTAAGCTTTTTAATTTTGTTTGAAGAGAAAAATAGTTACAATTGAAAAATTATGAAAAAATTACAAAAAAAGTGCATGTAAAGTACAAGTAATTGACTGCCACATATTTCTCAAGACAAAAGAGCACCGAGATGGATAGCCAAATTTTAAGTGATTGTTCACCCTCATAATTTCTGAGTTTTGAAGAATTCAGTTTGTTTTGGCCATTTAAATTATTATATCAGTATAATATTGAATATATTTTTGTTCTTTAATTGTTTTGTGATGAATACCTTTGGGATCTATATAAGTGATATTCTGCTATATCTTCAAATGATAATATTTTTCATATTTGATGAGAGAAAAATTCACATTTTATAGACAACACAGTACTATTTTTG